TATGGATCTATTTGCAATCTTCTACATGTTGACATTCAGTTATTTGTTGAAGATGTTTTCTTTTTTCATTGTATAGTTTTGGCTTCTTTGTCAAAAATCAGGTGCTCATAGGTGTGTGGGTTAATGTCAGGGTCTTGAATTTGATTCCATTGGTCCACATGTCGGTTTTTATGCCAATACCAAGCTGTTTTTATTACTATAACTCTATAGTAGAGCTTGACATCAGGGGTGGTGATTCTCCAGAGGTGGCTTTGTTGTACAGGATTCTTTTAGCTATTCTGGGTTTTCTGTTTTATGTTGGAGAGGATGTGGAGCAAGGGGAACACTCCTTCACTGTTGGTGGGAGTGCAAATTTGTACAGCCACTTTGGAAATCAGTGTGGCAGTTTCTCAGAAAATTGGGAATCAATTTTCCTCAAGACCCAGCTATACTACTCCTGGGCATATACCCAAGGAATGCTCAATCATACCACAAGGACATTTGCTCAACTATGTTCATAGCAGTATTATTTGTAATAGCCAGAACCTGGAAACAACCTAAATGCTCCTCAACTGAAGAACAGATTAAGAAAATGTAGTACATATACACAATGGAGTACTACTCAGCAGAGAAAAACAAAGACATCATGAAATTTGCAGGCAAATGGATGGAACTAGAAAATATCATCCTGAGTGAGGTAACCCAGACTCAGAAGGACAAACATGGTATATACTCACTCATAAGTGAACACTAGATGTAAAGCAAAGGATAACCAGACAACAACCCACAAATCCAGAGAAGCTAGCTAATAAGTAAGACCCAAAGAGGGATGCCCTAGGAAGGGGAAATAGATGAGATCTCCAGGAGTCAACTTTCCAGGATAAGGGATGGGCAATGGAGGGTAAGGGATAGGGAATAGGATGGTTGAACTGGAACAGGGATGGAGTGGGAAAGTAATGAAAGAGATACCATGATAGAGGGAGATATCATGGGGATAGAGAGAAACCCGGTGCTAGGAAAGTTGCCAGGAATCCCCAAGGATGACTCCAGCTTGAACTACTAGAAATAGCGGAGAGGGTGCCTGAACTGAACTGGCTTACCCCAGTGATCAGACTGGTGAATGCCCTAACTGTCATCACAGAGCTTTTCTCCAATAACTGATGGAGGCAGATACAGAGATCCACAGCCAAACACCAGGCAGAGCTCCAGAAGTCCAGTCAAAGAGAGAGAGAAGAGAGATTCTATGAGCAGGTGCATTAGGATCATGATGGGGAAACCTGCATAGATGACCAAACCAAACTAGTGGGAACTCATGAAAGTTGGATCAATGGCTGTGGAGCCTACATGGGACTGGACTAGGCCCTGTGCATGGCGAGACTGTTGTGTAATTTGATCTGCTTGCCTCGCCCCCCCCAGACCCCCAGGATCAGAATCCATCCCTGGTGCATGAGCGGGCTTTTTGGAGCCCACTGCCTATGATAGGACACCACATGCAGCCTTGAGGCAGGGGGAAGGGCTTGGACTTGCCTCTAATGGATGTGCCTCCCTATGGGAGGCCTTGCCTTCTTTTGGGGGATGGGTTGGGAGGAGGAGGCTGGGGAGTGGGAGAAGGGAAGAGGGGGATCTGTGATTGGTGTGTAAAATGAATGAAAATTTCTCTTAATTAAAAAAAAGTCATAAAACTTAAAAGGTTCAGAAAGAAAATGAGTGCTCTTAAGAGAGCCAAAGAAAGCATGCTTTTCTGCAGCACACTGATAGCAAAACTAAGTAGTCATCAAAATGCCTACATAATTTTAAATGTGAACAATACAGTCTCTTTGGAGATTCAATTGCAGTATTCAATCTTTCAAAGAATTTCAACAGTTTCATATTTTTCTGCATCTTTAAAGTACATAAGGCAGAAACCATTAGTTGTGCCTAATGCTTTCTTGCCCTGAATTTTCACTAGCTTATGGTGACAAAAATATATAACTTAAGTGAAGTTAAAATATTGTGGTTTGAGTCATCTCTTGGGCCCCAGCCCCACTAATGAGAATACAACCAATTTTTAGATACAACACATCCTGAAAAGTTCAGCTCCACTTAACTCCTTGGTCAAATCAAACTCAGAGTAGTATGTGTTCAATTAGATTTGTGAACAAACTTTCCAAAACAAGCCTAGTTTTGCTCACAGCAAAACATCTCTCCAGATAAACCATGAAGTACCTGTGAAAGACATGAACACTTAGAACAGAAAACACCTGCAAGGCCCTAAGGCCAACAACAGGATAGCAGAGTCAATTCCCAGACAATTTATGCATTCTAGACTATAGAAGTCCTAAGAGAAGAAGCTAGACCTGGTTTACAATACCACCAAATTACCACAGGTTATGGTCTGCACTTATAAATGGATACCACCATGAAGGAAAACAGATGGGATAGCACCAATCTGAGGTGAGAATCACACTGGCCAAAAACAAAGAAAATTCAGTTGGTCAGACTATATAACTATTTACAATGGGAAAAACATAAGAGTCCCTAGGTCACGCAAAGGAAAACATGAGGCCTTAAAACAGGCTGTCCAACCTGGATGAAACAGTTAATTTGGGCTCATGCTCCAGTCTAGTCTTTAACAGAGATCTTCATGGTCAGGTAGTACTACCTCAGTGACTGTATAGATCTAAGGTTGGTGTCTATTTGGGGACAGCATTAACTTACATAAGATCACTCATCAATTATGCCTTGACATGTGAAAATGATAACTGTTGTGTGAGTCAAAGTTCTCAGAAAGAAGCCACACCTTCAAGATGAAACATTTTGCAAGACTGATTAACTGATTAAGAGCGTCAATGATTGTAGAGTTTGCAATATTTCAAGTCCAGAGCCAAATTACAATTTGTCTTGGGCTACCTTTAGTCCCCTAAACAGCCATACCTTGCCCTCCTCTGTATTGGACCCAATATTCTGTGACTAACGTAAAAAACTTTTTAGAATCTATTAACTTTTGACAGACTACTAGCTTCCACCAACCCAACAGGCTAAAAATATCACCAGACAGCATCTGAAGCCTATAGTTGAGATCTCCCCACTTTACTGTATCTCCTTTGAGATGAGAATTGTATTTTTGAATCAACAAATGTATTTTTGTTCAACTGGTATTTGGAACACCACACAGCATTTTCTTGGTCATATTGGTAATACTGAAGGGTAATAATGAAGTGAGTGACTGTTAGGAGTTCTGTCATCAGATGAGAACTAGATAATCCACAACTCATCCTTAGCCTGCCCAGGCCAGTGACAGTAAATGACATTAACAGTCAGAGAAGCAAAAGCTCAAAGCCTAGATATCTGAACCTCATACTGGGATTATTTTTATTATATGGTTCTCTGACATGGAGACACAGTGTACTAACTCAGTCACTGGCCTCTGTCCCATAAAAGAAGATACAGTTTGGGCTTGTTTTGTGGCTGAGGATACTGACTAGGATGAGGAATACTGGCACCTGAGACTGAGTACTTGAGTGCAACTTGACTACAGACCTTGAGGTGACAACAGCCTTTCCACACATCATCCACTTGATGATCTGAGACCAAGACAGTCTTTCTATCCTCCCTGGCTCTGTTCTGTGTACATTTAAATTTCTTGTAAACCCAGATGACAAAATCAACTGGTTGAAACTTCTGCTAGCAAGTACGTGCTCAGCTAGGCTGGTTCTAAAACTTATGATGAGATTTAAATCTTTTCAGAGGCAGCCTCTGGCTGTTGAGTCTGTTTTGCTTCAGCTGTTCTATTCTAGCCCACAGGGTTACATATCCCCATTTTGTCTACTGCATTACCTTGAAAAAAGTCTAAGCCAAAGGCATGTCCTCCTGTGTTGTTTAGTAGTCCAGAATAACCTGCAGGATCACCCTATCTCAAGAGTCTTTCAACAAGGCTGTGGTCCCAAGACAACTGCTACCTGACAGACCCTACACAAGGACACCCAACTGGGCTGCTCCCACATTCCTGACACATAGAAAAGTTGTAAAGTACTATTTTTTGTTGTTCAACATGATAAATGTTTGGAAATTATAGAATAAATAATTAAAAGATAATAGCTTGCCCATCAGCTAACTGCTTAGCAGCATGCAAAACTGTTTCCACAACCTGACAGACTTCCATCGGGAGCCTAAAACCATTTCCTATCTGGCTCAAAATAAAGCACATATGAGCAATACAGTGGGTAGCTGCTCCAGCTTTGACCTTGAAGCACTGCCCTTAATGAGGCAGCCAGTAGCTACCATGCCTACCTATAACCTGCTCCCAGGGCGTGGCTGAGATGGGAGCCCTTAAAACCAGAGATCTGTGTATGTGCTGGCCCTCTTGGCTCCTCATGATCCTGGATGCTGGATCACAGACCAAGTCAGAGTTCTCCAGAGAACCACACTGGACTCCACCTCACCTCTCCTGGATCCTGTAACCGACCACTTTACTGGTTGTTAAGTTACCCCAAAATAAACCTCTTTTTAACTACCAGATAAACTACGTGGAATTGCCTTGTTAAATCCCTGCTTTAGGGTTCAGCACCAGTTCCATCATGTTCAGTTGAGAGGATGTTGTAGAATATTTGTACACTGTGAAGATGTATTGCTTTGACTGGTGTAATAAGAAGCTAAACAGCCAACAGCTAGGCAGGAGAGATAGGTGGGACTTCTGGGCAGAGAGAGAATGCTGGGAAGAAGGCGGCAGGTGGCCAGCCAGATGTTGAGGACGCAAGATGGGCAGTATAGAGTAAAGGTAACCAAGCCATGTAGAAGAACATAGATTAAAAGATATGAATTAATTTAAGTTATAAGAACTAGTTAGAAACAAGCCCATGGTAAGGCCGAGCTCATTTTTTGTGAGCTGGCGACCCAAAGAAAAATCTGTCTATAAGAGGGTACTTTGAATTTTTTTTATGAAACAAATGTGCTATAAGGAACGCTGGCTTATGAGTGACTAAGTATGGGAACTGTTTCTCATAGGAAAAAAAAAATCTGTTATCAGAACATGCTCAAGTTACCTCAATTTCCAGAACCTGAAATTCCAGTTGAAATGTAACCATGTTGCAATTTCCTGATAATCTGTGTCTCCGTAGAACTTTCTTTGTATCTGTTAATTAGAAAATCAAATATTTTATTTAAAGGAATACTTTTCTTCTAATACTTAAGTGAATATCTACTTGTGAATAGATTTATTAAAGTATACATTAGTAATTGCTTTAAAAACATCTGGAAGGTCTGGGGCTGGAGAGATGGCTCAGTGGTAAAGATCACTGACTATTCTTCCAGAGGACTTGGGTTCAATTCCCAGCAACCACGTGGCAGCTCACAACTGTCTGTAACTCCAAGATCTGACACTCTCACATAAACATACATGCAGGCAAAAGACCAATGCACATAAAGTAAATTTTTTTTAAAAAAAACCTGGGAGGTCATGTCAAAGAAATTGGCCTTATAAAATAGAAATACTAAAAACTTATACTTTCAAGTTCTCAAGTGTATCAATGGTTGAGGTAACACACACACACACACACACACACACACACACACACACACACACACACGATATAACCCTAAATAAGTCTGAATCATGTTAACTGTCATATGTTTTTTCATTAATTATTTATTTTTGAGACAGGGTCTCTCTCTATAGTCCTTGCTATCCTGGAACTCACTATGCTCACTATATAAATTATGTTGGCTTCAAACTCACAGAGATCCTCCTGTCTCTGCCTCCAGAATACTGGGATAAAAGGCATGTACCACCACATACAGCCTTTATTTAAATTTATTTTCATATTTATTTGTGTGTGTGTGTGTGTGTGTGTGTGTGTGTGTGTGTGTGTGTGTGATGCATGTGAACGTCAGAGGACAACTTGAGGGATCAGTTCTCTTCTTCTACTATATGGGTTCCAGAGAGTGAATTCTGGTCATTATTAGGTTGGGTATTAGGGCCTTTATCTGCTGAGCCATACATCTTGCCTATCTGTTTGAAATTTTTTCAATATTATCTTGTTTGTATGGATTTATCTTGACATTACTATAATCACTACAACTGTACCAGAGTAAGACTAGCTAGTTTTTCCTATATGCAGTCATATAAAGAAATAGGTAGTTTTTAAAAATAAAGTCTTTAAAGAGACAGTAAAGGTACTATAAAAAATAAGCCACATAAATAGGGATAGTACACAGAGAATCTGGATTGTGTTGTCTTTGGGATTTTTAACTGCAGAAAGACATTTGATTATAAAAGCTGTTGAGTTAAGCCAATGTGTCTATTTTAGAGATACCTTGACTTCAAAATTTGGATCTAAGGATATGTTGCTTTGGAAAGAAGGCTCTGCTTTTATTTCCACAGAAAGCAAGAGGCTATGGATTTGTTACATATTAAGATACATTAGGTTTGACTGGCCAAGACCACCTAAAAGGTCTCTGATGACAACATGGCCCAGATGATCCAACATCCAGAATGGTTTCAAGACAACTGGCTCAGACAATATACCCTCATATACTACTCCATAATCCTAAGATTTTCTTTATGTCTCCATAAGAATACAGTGCCCTCATCCAGCAGGAAGTAGTATGAAAAACTACACCCAAATTCCCAAATATACCAAGCTGGCTTTGGAGATGGAATTAGCTCACTCCTTCTCTAAACCCAAGCATATTCCTAAAACAAAAGGTTGAAAGATTTTTGTGTCCCATATCAGAAGAGCCCTCTGGTATGGGACAGACAAAAAACAATATTTTTATTTAAAGCAGGGTGATTATAAAAGCAATCTCTTTCTAAAGAACAAAAGAGAATAGTGTAGATATAGTAGGATGAAAGGGTAGATTAATGAAACTACTTTTAAAGAGCAACTTGGTTAAAATGTTTTACATTGCTATAGATTTTAGTTTATTGATACTTTAAACTTAATTTTGTTATACTGTATATATATTTCTAATCTTGTTTAAGGTATTATGTTTATGTAACTCATTTAAACTGTAATGGATAATTAAGAAATACAGATTAATAATTAGTCTTCTATGATAGTCAAACTTGTAGCCATGTTAGTTAAGTTTTCTAGTTATACATAGATATATTTCCAATAGGTAATCTTCAAAAACTTCAAAGACCTACAGAATATGACATTTAAAATGTTTTAAAAATTTAGACTTTCTGGACAGTGAGACATATCTGCTCCTGGCAGCAATTTACTTCAGAAAAGAGGATGGGCATTGAAAACACTTCGTATGGAGTTTATCTTCTTGGCAAAAAAATAGCCATTTGGGCAAGAAACTGTTCTTGTCTAGACGGTATGATTGACTGGACATGCAGGACCCATCAGAAGGAGAACACTGAAGTTTGCTTGGCAAAATGGTCCTACAGGTTTCTGCTATGCAGAGGAAACTGCCAGACAAATTACAGGACACAGAGAGAAGTGACTGAGAGACTCTAAGCCTGTGGACTGAAGACAGATGCCCCAACTTTACAGAGGAACTTTGGATGACTGTCCAGGCTGCCAGCTATCTCTGTCTACACTTGCAAGACTCCCGAAAGTTGCTTGCATCCTTCTCCCGTTTCTCAGGTAATATTATATCCTTCTGAGGCCTTTGATGTAGTTGAAGACTAGATAGTTATAATTTTCCTTAGTTATGATGAAAGATTTAGATATGAAATCTTAGACTCACAAATGCAGGGTAGATAGGATATCTTCTTTAATTTTGCCAAATACAAATAGACTAGACATTATAAATAGACTAGATATTGTAACCGTAATTCTTGCTTGATAGTTGTTTTGTTATATGTAATTTTACTATGTGAAAGTTAAAACCTTCCTTTTTCAAAAACAGAAAAAGGGGAAGTGCCGTGGATGATTGATTGATAAATAAAATACTGATTGGCCAGTAGCCAGGCAGAAAGTATAGGTGGGACAGGGAGAGAGGACAAGTCTGGGAAATGGAAGGCTGAGGCAGAGAGACGCTGCCAGCCACAGTGATGAGAGGCAAGATGCAAGGATACCGGTAAGCCACGAGCCACGAGGCAAGATATAGATTAATAGAAATGGGTTACTTTAAGATAGAAGAACTAGATAACAAGAAGCCTTCCATGGCCATACAGTTTATAAGTAATATAAGCATCTGAGTGGCTATTTTATAAGTGGGCTATGGGACTGCAGGGGCTTGGCAGAACCCGGAGAGAAACTCTCCAGCTACACTTTAACTGTGTAAAGGTGTGTTATATTTGTTTCTGCTGCATTTGTTTAATTATGAGAAGATGTGTTGCTGTTTCACCTAGCTTGCCTAAGGTACCTGACTGGTCTAATAAAAAGATGAATGGCCAATAGCTAGGCAGAAGAGGGATAGATGAGGCTGGCAGGCAGAGAGATAAATAGAATAAGAGAAGAGAAGGAGGAGAGATTGAAGGAGAAAGAGAGGGAGATGTCCAGGGCCAGACAGTCAGGAAGCTGCCAACCAGCTAGACAGAGTAAGACATACAGAAAGAAGAGGTAGGGGCTGGAGATATAGCCCAGTAGTTAAGAGCACTAGTTGCTCTTCCAGAGGACCCAGGGTTCAAATCCCAGCCCCAATAGCAGCTCACAACTATCTGTAACTCCAAGATCTGACATTCTCACACAGACATTACATGCAGGTAAAACACCAAAGGGTAAAAAGCCCTGAAGTAAAAATGTAGATGAAGAGAAACATGTTAGTTTAAGTTAAAAGAGCTAGCCAGAAACAAGCCTAAGCTAGGCCAAGCATTCAAAACTAATAAGTCTACATGTCTTGATTTGGGAGCTGGTTGGTGGCCCCAAAGAAAAAGCCTAGTATAAAAATGAGTTCAAATGGTATGTCTGAAATATATAGCAAGCATAATTTAAATGCTTAAGATGCAATATTCTTAATACCTCAATCATTTTTACATGTGTTTACTCATGTAACCAGCACCCAAGTCAAGATGTCCCAATTTTATAGTACCTTGTAAGTTTCCCTTATCATCTATCACAGACTATTTCTTATCTCCCAAGAGTTAAGAATTATTCTAACTACATGGAGGTAAGTAGTTTTACTAAGGAAGTTCTTTTTTAGGAGGATACAATACTACATATATAAAGGAAAGAAAGGAACAACTTCATTTTGGAAGCTGGAAACCTGATGAATGAATCAGGTAGTGCACAGACCTGGAAGATGTAGGAGAACTGAAGCCTAAGGCAACAAAGAAAGCACAGAAGAAAGTTCATTTACAGAATAGTACCTGACAGGCATTTGAATTGGTAGCACTGACTTACTCTACAGGTGGTGACAAATGCAGATGCTGGATATGGTGGTGCATGCCTGCAATCCCAGAACTTGGGAGGTTGAGCAGGGTATTAGGAGTTTGGGATACACTGTAAAGTTCAGGAAGGAAGACAGCAAAGCAAGGAGTGGGTTCGAGGCCAGAGCAAGACACAGAGGGAAGGAGAAAGAATATCCAATTTTGAAACTTACTATCAAGCCATTATAATTCAGACAATGTGGTATCAGTGAAAGCATAGATAAATAGATCAAAAGGACAAAATAGCCAAGAAGTAAGTTCATAAATATAGTAAAATTATTTCTGATAAAGAAAAAAAGGTAGTCAATGGAGAAAGGCTACTCTAGTTGAAAAATTTGTTGGACATCTGAATGAAAAAATATAAATCTAAACACTGACTTTTATAACAATTTGAAACAGATCAGAGACATATACAATAAAAAACAAAAATACATAATTCATACAGTATAATACTGAATAAAATCCAGGTGATCTTGGTCTTTGTCCCTAAAAAACTCAAAGGACCAGCAGGTAAGATGGCTTGGGGGGATCAAAACAATTGGCACCAAGCTCAACAACCCAGCTTTGATACCTGGAACCCACACAGAAGGAAAGAACCAATTTTTTCATTTTAATTTGTCCTCTGACACAAGCACTGTGGTACACGTCCCACACACACACACTAAATATATAAACGTAATTTTTAAAAAGTAATAAAAGGGCCAAAATGTAGTAAAGATGAATCTTGAATGGAATGTTAGAAATAACACAGATCAGGCCGGGCCGTGGTGGTGTATCCTTTAGTCCCAGCACTCAGGAGACAGAGGCAGGCGGATCTCTGTGAGTTCGAGGCCAGCCTGGTCTACAGAGTGAGATCCAGGACAGACACCAAAACTACACAGAGAAACCCTGTCTCAAAAAAAAAAAAAAAGAAAAAGAAAAAAGAAAGAAAGAAAGAACACAGATCACTTTATTTTGCAGACAAGATGCTCAGGCCCACATAAATACTGTGATTTGAGTCTAAATTTTGCTTTTTTCATTATGAAAGTATACAATACATATACAGATTACATATATACACTATAATAAAGTTTATTTTTCTGGAAAACATGGGAGTACAAATGGGAAAAAAAAACTACATGCCACTACCCAATGAAAATTGTTTTATTAAAAAATCTAACATTTTCTCCTAGCCTCTTTCTTTTGAAAATTTATTCCCCAAAATGCATTCATAACACATCTCATTTTAATATATGTGTGTCACGCAACTGTGTAATGTAGAAACCAGCATGCAAAATAGTCCCTTAATAATTATCATTCAAGTATAGAACTATTAAAAGAAATAGAAGCACTGTAGGATGAAAAGCTTTCTTTTAGTGAAAATCATCTCTGAAAGTAATTTGCCATTTATTGCCAAGATTGAGCCATTTGCTAAATCGGATAAATTTACAGAAAAAAAATTACTTTAATTTCAGTATTTTTTAAAATTGAACAGACTAATTTTTTTTTAAAGGTTAAGAATAGGATTAGGGGTTATGTCAGTTGGGAGAGCTTTTGCCTTGTAAGCATTAGGACTTACATTAGATCCTTGGAATATATGTGGGGAAAAAAGGAGGAAGATATCTACAAGGAGTCGGTGGGGAGGACGGGGAGCTGTGGTCAGCCTGGAGGAGGAGGACTGGAGTTGTGGTCAGCCTGGAGGAGGAGGATGGGAGCTGTGGTCAGCCTGGAGGAGGAGGACTGGAGCTGTGGTCAGCCAGCCTGGATGGAGGGTGTAATGCAGATGCTAGAAGACAGACTTGCCTCCACATGGTGGAGAGAGACCAGACCCCTGAAAGTTGTTCTCTGATGTCCACAAGCACACTGTGACATGTGTACACTGCTCCAACACACACTCCTAATAAAATTTAAAAACCACATCCAGGTTAAAAAATAATACTTACCCTTTTCCGTCACTTCAGTGTTTGTAATGTCCTCAATCTTGGAATAATTTCTTATATTGATGCCAGTAAGTTGACTTAGAAATGAAAGTTCAGATTTTAAATGTCCAAGCTGACTTTTCAGGTCTTTCAAGGATTCCCATCCCTCAGAATCTGACTGGGGAAATTTTTGAAGTGATTTTCTGAAAAGCAAATATCAGAAATAGTTACTTGGCAACTAGTAAGTGTATAACTTACTATATAATTTTTCCTCTGGGTTCTGCCCCTAGTGCTGAAGGTGAGGCTTGCAGAGCTGGCTCAGTGGCTAAGGGCACTGGCTGTTCTTCCAGAGGACCCAATTTTGACTTCCAGCACCCACATGGTGGCTTGTAACTCTGTAACTCCAGTTCTGGGGCTCTGATGCCCTGTTTTGGCTCTAGTGGGCACTAGGCACACATGTAGAACATAGACAGACAGACATACATGCAGTCGGAACAGGGACATGCTGAAGCTTTTTGAGTTAGGGACTGCCAAGTAAAATGGTAGGCTATGGCTGCCTCTATGTGACCCGATGAAGGAGATTGTCACAGTAAGAAAAAAACTGACTCTGCTCAGACAGACAGAGAGGGAGGGGGAGGGGGAGGGGGGGGGGGGGGGGGGGAGGGAGAGGGAGAGGGAAAGGGAGGGAGGGAGGGAGGGAGGGAGAGAGGAGAGGGAGAGGGGGAGGGAGGGAGGGAGAGGGAGAGAGAGAAATACTTCAGAAATTCAGAAAATAGAGGTAACAGGAAATCGTATTAAATGAAATAAGCCTAAAAGACAAATACTACTTTTTTCTCACCCAAAGTTCTTGTTCTCCCCTCTGCTCCCCCACCATGTGTGTGTGTGTGTGTGTGTGTGTGTGTGTGTGTGTGTGTGTGTTTATATGTGAGTACAGATCATGAAACTAGAAAGAGGATGTGGAGGGGAAAGCAGAAGGCAGGACCTACAGGAGGAAGAAAGAGAACGAGCTTTGGGAGACGGTAAAAGAGAATGGATGGGAACAAAAGATAACAGCATATGTGTAAGAAGATGCCATGGTGAAATCAACTACTTTGTATGCCAACTAAAAAAAATTAAAGAAAAGGAATATACCTCATCACTTCTAGTCAATGTTGTAGTGGAAGCAATCAGGCAAAAGAAATTTGAGAAGAGAAACCCTGAAGCACAGGAGGAGGAGATTACCAAATCATGATCACTCAGCCCATACAAAGCCAGGATCTGAAGTCATGTAATTTTGGAATCAGAGTGTGGGCACATGGATTTAACTTAACAACTTTGTTCCAGTATTCCAGCTGCCAATCCAGTCAACCATGAAGATCACTTTAAAAGTATCTTGGAGGATTGATTGGTAAGAAGGCTATGCAGGTAAAAGTATTCACTGAACAAGCCTGACACTGGAGTTTTATCCCCACTGGAAGGAGAGAACTGATGCTTGAAAGTGCTATAGCCTGACTCCCCATGGGAGACCTCGATTTGGGGGATGTGGGGATGTGAGGTGGCTTGGGAAAGAGGGCTGGGGAGTGGGAGGAGGGAGGAGGGGGGGATCTGTGGATGGCATGTGGAGTAGAAAAATTCTTAATAAAGAAAAATGTAAAAAAAAAAAAAAAGAAAAGAAAATTTAAATAGGAAGAGATTGGAAGATATGGAAATTGAGGGGATGGTGTGGTGTCAAATGAGGAGAATATGTGTGAAAAGGCCATATATATGCACACTTACTGCCTTATGATAAAAGTAAATTATAATTATATTAATAAGTATGAGGGAACATAGGCATGGTTGAAAAAGGAGAGGATGTGGAAATGATTAAACATAATACTATTAAATTCTCAAAAAAAAGTGCTATAGCATACATGTGCCGTCATTCACACACAATACGCATGCAATAACAATTTAAAAAATTAAGTAGCTTAGTACAAAGGCCTCAATCTTCCTTCACCACAGTGAGAAAAATTTCACATTAAATCCACGCACTGACTGACATTTCATGTCTTCCTTAATCTAAATTCTTCTAACTTTCAACTGCATTGCTGAGAATTCTACACAATCTACTGTATTATACTGGGCTTATATTGACATCTTGTGGTGAGTAAAGAAACTACTTTCCCCTATGGTATGACAGAATACTTCTCAAACTTTTTTTCTTGGTTTTTTGAGACGAGGTTTCTCTGTTTAATGGCCCTGGCTGTCCTGGAACTCACTCTTAGATCAGGCTGGCCTCAAACTTAAGAGATCTGCCTGCCTCTGCCCCCTGAGTGCTAGGACTAAAGGTGTGCGCCACCACCGCCCGGCTTCCACCTTTCAAACTTTAAAGTGTGCATACAAAGGGTATAGGGCTGGCTGTCTTGATAAAATACAAATTCTACTTTGCTAAGTGGGGGTGGAGTCAGCAACTCGTAGGTAACCCTAATGCTTCCAATATGTGGGTCACACTTGAGTCAGTAGCAAGTATCTCAGTCTTGCTTGTGGAAGAGCATATATACATATATAGGCCACTGCACATTTCTTCTTTTCATCAGTTACAACTTTCTCTTATTTTATTTTCTTTAAGACTTCGCCACATTTTCCTGCACTCCAAAGGTTCTTTTCAGCAAAGGAAAATCTCATTCTCTGCAACTGTACCAAATTATACCTAACAAAATAAAGATAGGTTGCTTTCATGTTTAAGATACTAAATTACTGTTAGTTCCAGCCTTCCTTTTTTCTTCTTCTCTTTGAATTGAGGAGAATGCTGGGACTTTGGATTTTTCTAGTACCTTAGTTAACTCTCGACCCTCATATTCATTACCTTCAAATAGGGGTTAAGAGCAGTCCCTAATCCAGAGGATTATCAGACGTTCCTATAGACGGTATTAGCCATATATCAATTTATTTCACCTAAGCTATTTTTCAGACGTCATTTCTGTCATTCACTATAACCAACACCAACACCAACACCAACACCCTGACACAAAAAGATCAGGATCACTTAACTATAGTTAGGTGACCCACAAAAACAAATTCACGAAACAAGAGTCAGGAAACCCCAACTAGAGCAAGGCGTGGCGGCTCGGGTAATAACCCCACCACTGAGGAAGAAGGATCATGAGTTTGAAGTGAAGTGGAGCGAATTCCTGATCTTCAGGGTAAGAATGTCTCCAAAACTATAAAAATAGCCCAACTAGATACTGTTTCCCGAAGGCGAGATTGTTCAGTTAAAAGCAAAGCAAGGCTTTCCCACTGATTCTCATCAACCGGGCAAAACTATTTTCTGCTGATTACAATCAAGCCGCGAGCCCCAAAGGCAGTGCTCCCACTCTTGAGGTGTCCTCACAGAATCGATACTGATTCAAATTCACATTTCGGGAGGTCTCCCATTACACTGTTCACACCCGGCGTGTACGGACTCGGAGCCCCGAGCTGTGAGGAGGTGGGTAGGTCCGCGGGGTGCGCGGATGCGGGGGCCCGAGGGGTGGACAGGAGCCACGTACCGGGCTCCCGACGTCTCCTCCCAGGGCTTCCGCAGCATACTGCACTCCCGCCGCAGCGCCGCCACCTCCGCCTCCAGGGCGCGCAGTTCGCGGGTCTCGGGATCCATGGCACCTCGCGCCCAGCACTGCGGCAGGAGCTGCGGCCCACAGCTGTCACAGCGCCCTGCTCGCCCCGCGTTTCAAGCGGCGCGCGCGCTCCCGGCGCGGACCACTCGCGAGCTCGCGGGGGAGAGGCTGCTCGGCGACACGCGTCCGCCCCACCCTCAAACCACGTTCTAGAGCCGTCCGTCCCTCGGAACGTCGCGCCGGGGGTCTAGACACTCCCGACTCTCCCGAGAGTTGGTTCGTTCCAAATCGAACCTCAAGCTCCGAAGGCTGCTCTCCCCCCTCTAAGGACCTTGGAGCAACCCGAGCCCTCACGTCACGGAGGGGGCGGCTTCGGGAGGCACGAGGAAAAGAGTCTCTTTATTTTTGTTCCGCTTCCCCACTTCCGCCTACTTGGCCCGGAAGTCGGGCGTCACGTGGCGGCCTGTCTTTTCTGTAGGAATTACGGAATTATTTTTCCCTCGGCTCTTTTACAGACGTGGAAGAGAAGGTAGCGGAACGTCAGTTAGAACGAAAGTAGACGAAATAAGGAGCCCTCAGGAACTGCGTGGGAACGGAACCTTAGGAGACTGGGTCGGAAATCCTGTAGGAAAGAAAAGAAAGTGCGCCTGCTGGCACGTGTTGTTAGACATTGGGGGCTTACACTGCGCTGGAACTGACAGGCGGCGCCTTGAGGGGTGTGTGTGCGTGTGCGTGTGAGAAGTGATGGGCAGTTGGGCCTAACCTCTCCTCTCCTAACTTGGGACTTCTCGGAGGAAGAAGGAGTGGGTAGGATGGGGCGGAGGCTGCCAACAAGTGGCACACTGTAGGTCTCTCCCAGACTGCAGGTCTTTGCTTTTCGCTCCTGCTGGCTGTTGTGCGATCTCGCTTGGGAAGGAGTCAGCCAGCTTTTGAGGAAGGTTTGGGTGAGAGCTGAGCATCTGCCGAGAGCTAAACGAGATGGAGGGACCTCCTGAAAACTTTCCCAGCAACCTTGGTAGTGTAGTGTTCACAGTTCCAGGCTCTGAAGTTAGACCAGATTATTATCCTTGCTTCACCACTGGTGTTTTCTAAGTGGCACTGGGAAAAGCCTTAACTTCTCCTGCTCCTCTGAACAATGACAACCACTCAAAGTGCTTTGTGCAATCAAGGCACACAGCGGGGAAAAATATTTTAGGTATAACATTAGTTGCCTGCCTTGTGCCTGAAGAGCGCTTTTGGGACGCTTGTATTATGCTATACTGTTGTACTTGCAGACTTTATCTCTCTTATGACTGTGGAGCTCCAGGATGGAGACACTTTTAGCCTTTAGCTTACTCTTTTGTTAGTATCTCTTAAAGTCAAAATGAATGTGCAAACGAATCACGGGGGTGGGGTGTTTAAAACACCCAGTACTATGAGTAAGGAAATGAAAACGGTAAGATAAAATAGCTGTGGTTGTTTACAGAGAAAACATTAGTGTTTGTGTGCGATTTCAAAGTGTGTTCATTAAGAATGTGGATGTAGGGCCTTTGTAAAATTCCCAGGTATAAAATCTGAAACAATACGAATAATGAGTTCCATAAGACCAAATTGACACAGAAGTTCCAGGGGAAAGAGTTGGGTTATATTTGTGGGGGAAAAAAATATTAAGAAAGTGTTTTTCTTCACAAAATTACTTTTCCAGATAGCTGCCCAGCATTCATGAAAGCCAACAGAGAAAGGAAGCGCCTCTTTGTGGGTGGGCTTGGACAAGGCATTTCTGAGACAGACCTACAAAATCAGTTCAGCAGATTTGGAGAAGTTTCTGATGTGGAGATCATCACTCGGAAAGATGAGCAAGGTAATTCTCTAACCATTAACTGGATATGTATCAACGCAGGACAGGTATTACAGAAGAAACCAATTCAACTGGAGCTGAATATTAGCGCTAGACATGGAAAATGATATATGGTGTCCTGGAGGTATTGCATATGAAAGTTAATTTTGAAACCAGAAAAATTATAAAATATTTGAATTTCCAAAACACCTTTACTTTCAATTTTAGGAGTCAACATTCTAGCATTAAGTATCTTGTTAAGTAGACTGTCATTAACATACAATCAAGATTGTCTTCACTGATTACTTGAGGTTTTTTTTTTTCTTACTCATTTTATTTTGAAGAATTTTGTATTCATAAAAATTCAGTCTTTGGTCTGTTGTGGCAAAAGTATTTTCTTTCAAAGTATTTAAGAACTCACTTTTTAAACTTGGAAAGCTTTTTAAGGCTGTGTGTGGTGATTCACATCTTTAATCCTAGCACTCAGGAGGCTGAGGCAGGCAGTTATCTGAGTTCAAGGCCAGCCAGGTGTCTCATAATAAAACAAAAACAAAAACGATTGAGATTTACATGGTTCTCTGGATAAGAATTTAAATCAACCAAATTTTCTTTTTTAGGAAATTCACAAAAGGTCTTTGCATATGTTAACATCAGCATAACAGAAGGGGACCTGAAAAAATGTAAGATCATCATGTACTTTTTATTTTGTTTGTCAGTGTGGTTGTAACTGAAATGACTGTGGTTCCATATCTAAGCCTCACTAGTCACTTATGAGTTATATAGATTGGCAACTATTTCAAGAGCATTCTGGGGCCCAACAGCTCATGTTTCCATTCATTCAGTTAGTGCCAGAAGACTTAGTATCACATGCTAGTAGGTTTGCCCAAAAACTGCTATTTTCAAATAACTGGAATAATGAACCAAACTACCTTAGAAATTGCCTATTACACTTATCCCACTGAACGTTAGGCCACACTTCTAAGTCCATTCTTTTCTTGGACAGCTAATCCTTTGTCTTTAAGACCTATTATGAAAGGACATTAGAATATGACCTTGTCAGACCTTATCTTTGAAATTGTGATATCTCTTATTATGAGATTAGTAAACATAAGGGTAAATATTAGCTTTCAATGATGATTTCTCATTCTGTTGATACAGTTAATGTATTCTAATTTCTTGGAAGTCAAAAAAGGAAAAGACACTGAAAAGCAAGTAAAAGGAACATGCCATTGGGGAAAAAATCAGTCTTTTATAATTACAAATTTAAAAAAGATTATTTTTGGCAAGAGTATATATAAGGTAGTTTATTTAAACTTCTAAGTCCAGTAAATGAAAAGATACAGTGATTTACCTCATAATGTTACTGTAAGGACTAAATTAAATAGTACATTTGTACATAGTAAAATATCTACTGCATGGAAAATACTGTTAGTGGTTACATTAAGGAAGCTAGCAATAGATATTAGAAAAATCAACTACTAGGGCACAACAATTGAAGCACAGTTCAATCACTAGCTAATTTGTATGCATGCTTTATAGTGATAATTGGATTGAGGTGAAAGATTAAAATGCTACAAGATCACAAAATATGCTCTAATTCACCCTGAAAAGATTTCATTATTTATTTGCAGTAATGGAAAGTAACAAAATAGTAAATAAAAAGTAAATCAGAAGTTGCTAAAATGAATCTATAAACAATTTGCACATAAGTTTTACTTTACAGTTTATATATTATTTTCTTTGTTAGTCTTCAAGTAACTGAAAGAAACCTACGAGCTGGAGTGAAGGAATGTCTCAAGGACCCAGGTTCACTTCCTAGCACCCACATGGTGGCCAACAGTCACCTGTGGCTCCACGTCCAGGGGATCTGATGCCCTCTTTTGGCCTTCAGGGGTATTCACACACAAACAAGCAGACTAAACATGCACACACATGGAATAAAATGAATGAAATAAAGATAAATCTTTTTTAAAAAGAAGGGGGAGAAAACTGCTAACTGATCAGAATAAGGCCGGAAGCCTAGGTTCTTTCTCTCTGGTTCACTTTTCTACATTGTAGGTGTCTTTTTTAACAAATAAGCCTATTTTTTTTTTCTAGTACTAAATGTAAATAATTAAGGGGAAAAGCATGCTGAAATACAGTTTTGCATGGAAATGAACTTTGGCAATTCTTTACTGTATAGGTATGTCTATTTTAAACAAAACAAAATGGAAAGGTGGAACACTACAAATTCAACTAGCAAAAGAAAGTTTTTTACACAGGTAAGATTTGCCCCACGTGTACTTACGCCCCGTTTCTTTATAGTATAACTGCTTTTTATAAGTTTTCCTAACCAATTTGAAATTATTGAGTAATATATTACTTGTTGTCATGATTCGTTTCACAACTTGATGCAACCTGGAATCACCTAGGAATAGTATTTTAATGCAGTATTGTCTACATCATATTGGCTTATAGGTTGTTTGTGGCAGATTGTCCTGATTTCTTTCATTGATCTGGGAAGTCCTAACTTGGAAGTGGATGGTGCTGTTCCCCAGTTTGGAGCCCTAGACTGTATAAGAGTAGAGAAAGGTAGTTGAGGACCATGCATGCATTCATTTATTCTCTCTCTTTACTGTGAGTGTGACTAGTTGCTTCAGGTTCCTGCCTTGACTGGCCTGAAGTGGACTATACATAACTCAGAGTTGTGACCCTAAACCATTTCTCCACTAGGTTGCTTTTTATATGGGACATTTTATTGCAGTAACAGAAATGAAAGCAGGACACTAGCAAGTCCTAACCTTGCAAGCAGAGCTGAAGTCTTTCTCGATTCTTTCAAACCACACAGAAAGAGAATTCAGTGCTGTTACATGTCCATGTGTGTTGCATGTGTATGTTTTTCTTGGATTTTCCTAATACGATCTTCTGTGGCATTCCCCCTTTTGTGACAACTATCTGTATATCAGAAGTGGCTGTTACCACAGTGTCTCTTCATACTGAAGGACTATTTCTACGTCTTGCTGTCTGTAGATAATCCATGAGGATGTCTTATAAATGTAAAAGTGTTTCTATGTCCATAGAGTTATGTTATTACAGATGATACTGAATTACACTTGTTGATTTTGACTCTTAATGCAGTGTCATACAAAGATTGAGAGTGAAAGAAGATAGATACATATGAGACACTGTCTTAGTTACTTTTCTATTGTCATGACAAAGCATTCAATCTTTTTTTAAAAGAGAGTTCCAGAGGGTTAGAGTCGATGACCAGGCATGGCAATAAGCAGACATGCATAATGCTGGAGCAGTAGCTGAGAGCTTACATTTTATTTACAAGAATGAGGCAGAGAGACAATTAACTGGGAATGGCTTGGGCTTTTAAAATCTCAAAGCCCACGCCCAGTGACACACCTCCTTCAAAACAGCCATGCCTGCTAATTCTTCCCAAACAGTTCACCAACTAGGGACCAGGTGCTCAA